ACAACAAAATAAAAAACTAAACTCGTGTTTGTGCTTAAGATTCATACTGTTAGTATAAATAATTTTCTTATACTATTAAGTCAGACAAATAATATTAATAGATGTAGTTTTTTTTTAATGTGAAATTTGAAATTTTGTAAATAAAATATGTTAACAAGTGTTTTCAATATGTAAAAATAATATGACAGCAAGAAGTACAACTAGGACTTGAAGTTTATTGATTCGAGATTTTAATTCTTTAAAGTTATTAAGACGATATAAATATTCAATGATTTTTTCAAATATAAATAGAGTTTAAACTAAATCTATCAAAGTTTAATTGAATTTGACTATCTTAATACTAATTTTATCCTTACGTTTGATAGTATAAAAATTATTTACACGAACAAATTCGTATGACAATTAAAGAAACGCAACTAGTGACATGAACATGTCGGAGTTGGTTGGAAAAAACGTACACGCAAACCTTTGAATTCATCATAATAATAATTGGGACCAAAGTTGGGGAGCTGAACTTGGTAACTTTTACTCCGTCCGTCCCTAATTACTTGTCCAATTTTTTTTTTATAGTTGTCCCTAATTACTTGTCTATTTTGACAAATCAAGAAAGGACAATTTTTTTACCTATTATACCCTCAATTAAATGATTAATTATTTTTTAAAATGTAGAACTTTTCATCCACTTCATAATTAATAGGGGTAAAATGGTAAACTCACTATGTCATTAATTATTTTCTTAATAGGTGTGCCAATTTAAAAGTGGACAAGTAATTAAGGACAGAGGGAGTATTTATTTGTGGAGGTAAATAATTTGTTTAGGATTAAGAAAGTTTGACACCTAGCACTAATAATAAATGTTGAATTTTGGTGTGTTTATCGTCTTATACGATATTCTAACGTATAAATGTAAAATTATGAAGTCCATTCTGTGGACGGGTATCCAAATAACCCCTTACAACATGAATATTTAAGGAATCCTTTTAAAATATATTTTTCAAAAATATATACAACATATGTATCAAATTTACTTACATGTATGAGAAAGCGTTAGAGAATAAATGCATATATTGTTTTGAAATAATATCGTAAACTATATTACAGAATAAATACATATATTATTTTTAAATAATGTCATAAATTATATCACATATTCAAATTCGTAAATAAAATCGTTTTTCGACCGATCAACTCATCCTCAAAGTCGTTTAGGCTCAAGAAGGAAAGCTCATTGCTTAGGTAAGTAAGAAATCTAGTCCAACTTGATCAAAAGCAAATTAACATTTATTTATTTATTAGGCTAAAATAATTAATTAAACAACATTTTTTCTTTTAAAAATTACCAATCATATTCATTAAAAGAAAGATAATGTGACGTTTGCGATGACATGTTTATTTATTTTATTCTGGAAGATTTCTTCTTGGTCATGGAACCGCCACTATACTAGGCCCTACCACATAAAGGACTTACGCAAACTATTAATTGACTGATCGACGATAATAACATATTTAGTATAATTTTATAAATTGATATAAATAAAATATAAGTGAATTTTATTTTTATATTGGTAAAGTTGAGGGATTATTTTTATTAGACACAAATTAATTTGATTGAATATAAAATTTAAAATAAAAGAAAAAAAAATCAAAATTTATACTTAAAAATAAACCATGAAAGATAAAATAAAAAGTTTAAAATCAAACTGTTAGTAAATATCGAAGAGTGTCATTCTTTTTCCTAGACCAACTAAAAAGAAGAAAGTGTAAAAAAAGTTGAAACTAGAGGCATTATTTCGATCTAGTTTGTGTGACACTTTTTTAAGTAATAAATTCAAATAATTTTTATTTATTTTTGTATTTCATATAAATTCAGATAATGTCACATAAATTAAAATAGCGAAAATATTATATTTCAACGTAATTTGACTAATTCTAACCATATTATTCAATCCACTTTTTTCAAAGTCTCGTGTAATTAATACAACTCCGATGAATTTTCATTAATTTTTTCCTAACAGTAGGGAAGTGACTTGGAAGTTGAACGTTTGGATTTTATTTTTTTCATTAAATAATTCAGTATTGATAGAGAGACGGTATATAGTAATATATAATTAATATGGGCCTTTCATTTAATTGTACAATTTCTTAGTGGTCAAGTGGCAATATATAATATAGTCGACAAGACAAAATTAAAATGAATTGTCTGCCATTTGGGAGATGAAAAGAACTAATAAGGATAGTAGGGTTTGATTGCTTGAAATTTAACGAGAGGTCTTGAGTTCGGAGAAAAATTCGTTGAAAGTGATGTGTGATTCGAATTTAGTCAGATTCTAATGTGGATTCCGATCACTACGTGAAAAACAAAAACAAAAAAACTAATATTTTCTTGAAGGAAAAATATATATATACACATGACAATAAGAGAATTTCTTACTTATTTTTTTGAATTCGACATGTAAGCAATAAATACTATTCTAAAAATATTTATAAGTAATTTAGACAAATATACAAGAGATGAAAGTGAGAAGAACGGATGGTATGGCTTACGGATCTGCGTGAATATGGAGTGTATTGAAAGACGAAAAGACCATCATCATAAGAAAATAAAGAAATCTTTGAATTTGAACTAAAATTATTAAATTTATGACATGTTCACCCATAACTCCAGAAAAGGACAAGTGGATAAGGAAACTTTCGAATTTAAACTAAAGTTACTAAATTTTACTGAATTTATATCGTAAACGATACATCCACCCCTTTTTCGAGAAGAGGACTAAGTGGATAAAATGATATTCGAATTTGGCATCACAAACAGAACACATAGCATAATATCAGATATTAGTCAAAAAAAGACGGGAATATTATTGGTGGGGTCAATTTATTTTATGATCGTGAAAACTTTGGTATAAAAAAATAAAATAAAATATGCATGGTTGCAAGTGCTTCATGAATCTAAATTCTGAACCATTGGAATTAAAAAGCTTTTTGCCTTCTCAACTTCTTTAGGGGTGGGTCGCCGCATTCCACAATAAGCAAAAGAGGATTAGATTTTTTTTGTTTTCTCGGGATCTGATACTCGTTTTAGAATCTGATTAAATTAAGTTTTTTAAGAACGACGACATATACATAGTTTCTTGATATCATTCACATTTGTTGGTGTCTGTTACATGCCTTAGAATCTGACGTTGGAAAGTTCCACATTGAGATATATAAATATTTCCTAATAAAGCGACTTTAGAATCAGAACTCAAATTTAAAATATATGGTTAAGAATGAAGGAGTGGATCTCAGATACATATGAATCCCACTAGATATATGTATTTGAAATTTCAGATACGCGAGCGAGATATGAGAGCAACAAGAGAGATGGGAGAGAGGTGAACTAGATTTGTCTAGGTATTCCAGATACATGCAAATCCACTTGGATACACTATATCTAAAACATACTACATCTAATTTTGACGTCATGTATACCGATATATATATATATATATATATATATATATATTAATGTATCTGGACGCACCAAAAGGACACATGCGAATCTATGAATATAGTGTATCTAGAACAGATTACACCTAATTTTGATCCCATGTATCCCAATATACATGTATCTGGACTTATCTGGATGTACCAAAATTTGATAAGATTTATAATATTACAATCTAGCATATATCTAATTAATTAGTTCCTAAGTGAGATTTAAGATCCATAAAATTATTCCCCCGCAAAAATAATAATTTACAAGTGATTAAATTGGGCCTCATCTTTGTGCATTTTGGTTTAAGTTGGGCTGGAACTTGTAGCCACTTAAAAAGCCCATTTTATGAGCCCATCAAACTATTGTTTCAATTCTTCTTTCTTTGTTCTAAAAATGTAAATTATTAGTTATAAAGTGTGATATACAATTAAATGAGGATAATTGAATTGGGACATTTCTAAATTACTTTACATAATTAGTCAAACTCAAAAATAATGTTATTTAATTCTATTAATTCTTTTATAAAATTGAGTTTATTATGATTTAATGGCATCAATTATCCATTTGGGCAATACATTATAGGTTAAAAAAGGGCGAAAATGTTTTACTAAGAAAAAAAAAGGCGCCTAAAAAAAAAAAGGGCGGCAATTTTGTTGTTAATGATAAATAGAATTCTTATACTTGAAAGAGTTGGAGAACGACTGAATTTGTGATAAGTTATGAGAACTTAAATAAATCAATAATTAATAATTCATTGAAACATAGTTATTTTTTACGTGAAAACATCATGAAAAATGATTTCGATCTTAAACAAGTAAATTCGTCATTCGTTACGGTAAGTTAAATAAGTCAATAATTAATAATTCATCGAAACATAGTTATCTTTAATGCAAAAACATCATGATAATGTTATGAATTTCGATCTTAATAACCAAGTGAATCTGTTATACGTTACGAGAACTTAAATAAATTGGCAAAGTGAAAACTCATTGAAAATAGTGATTTTTTTACGCAAAAACACCACGGTAGTGGTATGAACTTAAAGTATGAAATCCACGAAATAATTGACTATTTTTCAATGACTTTTGACTATGCATTTATTTCTAAATAATAAATACTATTCGAATATACCTTATACGGGGTGTAAGTATAGCATTTCATAATATAAATGAATAAAAATACTTAATTTTAATATTCAAGGAGTATATCCAAAACTAACACATTTAAGAGTATTAAGTGTAATTATCTCTAAAAAATCAGATTAAAGTAATCTTTTCACTTAATCTTCTTCTACTATTAGAGTTCTTCACATCAAATTTCCATTTCCCTTTCATTTTCACCTATAAATAAATTCATCACTATACTTACTTTTCATTTCAATTAAACTCCAAATAAAATTTCCAAAACAAAAATTGCTATTTTTCTCAAGATGAACTTTAAATTTTTTATCACCATGTTTTTGTTCATTTTTTGTGCTAGTAAATTGGAGGCTCAACGTTACGTTACGTGGGACGATATTACAATGAACTTTGATAATATTGATATAAGTAATGGAATTTTACGCAAGTCTCAAGGAATTATCGTAGTCGATTCGAATGGTAATGGAGACTCCGTTACTGTACAAGGTGCAATCGACATGGTCCCCGATTTTAATTTTCAACGAATCAAAATTCTTGTTCATCCCGGACTCTATAGGTATTTATCTGTGTATATATATATCGATGGTATAAAAAATTACTATGTTTTAGATTCAAATTCTATGTTTTTTTTCCTCCTTTGTTAGAAATGGAATCACACATTGAAATAGTCATGATTAGTGTTACTTTTTGTGTTTTGAGATTTTCATGTTTGATACATTGAAATTAATATATGTTCTCTTTTTGTCACATAATTAAAGCAAATGATTTATATTAAAACAAGATTGGTCTGTACAGATACATATCTATCTATAGACTATATATACTAGCTAGTACTATTTAATTTTGGATCTATAATTACAAACACGTAATAGGTTCAATGATGAGTATTTAAAGATTGAAACCGTAAAATTTATATTTTAGAATTATTTCTTAATTATAGTGTCGTGTCACTCTTGTGGAAAATTTCTTTTTAACTATTACTTTCTCCATTCATCTTTATCTGTCGAGTATAATAAAAATAGCTGTCATCTAATTTTACATCTTCAATAAAGAAAATCAAGAAACAATTTATCATTTTGTGTCTGTTTTATCCTTGTCATTCATTTCCAACATTTCGATGCCTTATAATTAATAAGGACAATACAATAAAATCACCCTTATGTTTATCGTTTCTTAAGAGGGGTGTCAAGTCGAAAATTTGACAATTAAAGATGAACATAGGAGTATATGTGAAGATTTAGCTGTATAGTTTGTGATTTTTTATTTTTTTTATTTTGTTATGCAGAGAAAAAGTGTATATTCCATCTTCAAAGCCATTTATTTCATTAATTGGTAATGAAAATCATCCTGGAAGAACAATAATTACTGGTAACTCTAAGGCATGTGACAAGGATCAATATGGGAATGAAATAGGCACTATTGCTACAGCCACAGTTACTGTAGAATCAGATTATTTCTGTGCAACTGGCATAACCTTTGAGGTATTCGATACAGAATGAGCGTGATCTTATTATTAAATGGATTCAGTTAAACTCACGGAAATGAGTTTTTTTTTGTTTTGTTAGAATACTGTGGCTGCATTGCGTCAGGAACAGGATAAGCAAGGTGTGGCATTGAGATTAGCTGGTGACAAAGCAATGTTGTACAGAGTTAGGATTTTGGGATCACAAGACACACTTTATGATGATAAAGGATCACATTATTTTTTCAAGTGTTACATTCAAGGAACTGTTGATTTCATATGTGGCAATGCTAGATCACTTTTTCAGGTTCTTTGTCTCTTTTATCTTTCTTTTTTTAATATCGATAGTGTTCAGGTCAGCTTGTTGACATCCGACTTGTTATTTGTCATCAATAATATAAGTATCAGGTTATTCTGTCTGTCAAGACTTAATACAATTAGAAAGAAATGATCACTGCTAAAAAAATCACTATATTCCTATTGAAAAATGTTGTGTGGCTTTTCTTAAGAGATATTTTGATTAAATTGGTGAGGATCGGACAAAAAATAAAGTAATGTTTTCATTCAGAAATATTAGAAAGTTTCCCATTATTCAGTGAGAATCTGTTTTTGTTTTCCACCCTACATTTTTTGATTTCTAGTGAGTTGGTTCAGGAGGAAATGAGTGAAAAAGTCATGTTATATATCACTAATATTTCACTGATTCGCGATTGGGAAAAACCTTTATTTCTAGTAATGTGGGTCCAGGGGACCTCGTTGATCGACCTACTCTCGTACCAATTGTTATAAGACTTTATAAGAGCCCTCACCCCAAAGACTAGTCTATAGCTGAGAGAGCACTCATTCAACTTCTTAATTCATTATTATCTCTTTTAATCAATAATGATTCGCAATGGAAAAAAACTTTATTTCTAGTAGTATGTGTCCAGGCCACCTCGTTGATCGACCTACTCTCGTACCAATTGTTATAGACTTTATAAGAGCCCTCACCCCTCATTCAACTTCTTAACTCATTATTATCTTTTTTAATCGAGAAGGGACAATTGACACATACAACCCTCCACATACTTGAAACTTGAAGGATATACTCCATCACCTGAACAAGCCTCACTTGTTTAACTTTTTTCAAGGCGTAATTGCGATTTTGTTTTAATTTTTCTCAACAGAGTTGTGATCTTCATTCAGTAGCTCAAGATAATGTGGGAATATCAGGAGCAATTGCAGCACATGAAAGAGAATCACCTGATGATGATAGTGGATTCTCATTTGTTAATTGTAAAGTTACTGGAAGTGGAAGTGTATTTTTAGGCAGAGCTTGGGGAGAATATTCAAGGATTATTTACTCAAAATGCTATTTTGATGCCCTTATTCATCCACAAGGATGGTTTGATTGGGACGTACCATCTAGAGAAGGGTAAGATCATTATTTATTTCGACATCGTTATTTAATCTGTATTTACTTTTTAATTTATCTTACACGTCTACCTACTTCAAAACAACTTGAGATATACGAGGTTGATAATTAGGTATGAAGTTACATATGACTAAAGTTAATATATTTGTCTGAATTTCAGACATTTTCAAACTCAGATTCAGTTGTTTTGAGGTGGATAGATGTGCAAATCAATAAAATGTCTAAAAAAAAGAGACTAAAGCTATGGTATATGTGTCTGAATTTTAGACGTTTGTTTGAGGTAGATAGATGTGCAATCAAGAAAATGTCATATGTGTCTGAGTTTCTTGAGACGTTTTCAAACTCAGCTTTAGACACGCATATTTAAAGTTGTTTTGAAGTGGATAGACGTACAAATTTTTATGTACTTTAAAGTATGATTTAAATGGTGATCTCGAAAATGTCTTTTTTTTAGGCATGCATTTTTTGGAGAATACAATTGCAAGGGAATTGGAGCAAATAGAGCAAGTCGAGTGCCATGGTCTAATAATTTCACTCAAGACCAAGTCAAACCCTTCTTGAAAAGAGACTTCATTGGTGGAGATCAATGGCTTAGAATTTAGTTTAATTATGTTTTATTACTTTTTGCAAAGTAAAAGAAAATAAAAAAAATTAGGCTAACTTTGCTTGTTAGATTTTCATTTTTATATTTTATAGGTAGGATATAAGAGTCCATTTCCTTCAAGTTTGATCAAACATTTTGTGTCATAGCCTTTCTTTTATTCATATTTATATAAGTATGTTCTAGAATATTGATCGTATGAATGAATTTTTCAATATTGGATGTGAAAAAGTATTGAGATTTTACTTATGTTTTAATTGTCTATTTTTTTTTTCTCTATGTATATGTCTCTAACTCGAGACTTTTGGTTAAGGGTGAAACAGTCACATTACTACACCACATAACTCATATTGGTGTTTTAATTGTCTATTCACGATGACATTATATGTTGTATTTAGTAAAGAGTGATTTACCAGAAGTAAATAAATTCAAATTTATCGAATACTTCACAACATATGAAAAAAAAATATTGAGATTTTATTCATATGTATAAGGGTGTTCTAGAATATTGATAGTATGAATAAATTTTTCAATATTGGATGTGAAAAAGTATTGAGATTTTACTTACGTTTTAATTGATTATTATTATTATTATTATTATTATTATTTTGGTTTCCTTTGGTATTCGAAATCCGTATCGAAGATCGTGTACTGTTGGATTCATTTTATGATGACGCTCTCAACAAGATTTTCTCCGAGCTCTAACTCAAATGAAGAAAAAAAAAGTCCTATCACGTGATCTCATCTCAAAATCTTTATGATAAATAGCTCTAGCTAACCATTAAAGTAGAAGGGCCATCTCTTATCCACGGGTATGATCTTGGGGAACAAAGTATTTAATAAGCACTTTGGTTGGGGACAAAAAATAATAATTTGATGCATAAAACATCTTACGTTAATGCAGGGTGAAGGAAAAGATTGCACCCAATAAGAGAATGTGAGGTATATAGGCGATCTATTTTGAACGAAGCAATTATTTAATATGATTTCATGAGTTGAACTCATGCTCATTATAGATCACAAAAAAACAATTTAATGTTACTCTAATTAAACAATAAATAATTATATTTAATAACGATATATTGATAAGTTATAATAAATTAATGATTTATGACATTTAGCTAATTTCCAATAGGTATTTCAAAATTAATTGACCTATTTGGAATCTAATTTTTACTTCAAAAATGTGTCCTTTAGACTTTGGACTCTCGAAATATCTACAAAAGTTAGTTTTTTCTTGATTAACTTATATATTTAACAAGTGTAAAAGAACCCGTGAAATATTAAAATTTTCACATATTGCAGTCAGAACTCAGAAGTAAAGTCAAAACTTCAATTTTATAGATTCTAAATTTAAGAAAAACAACAAAAAGTAATTATAATTGAGTTCTAAATATAATATTTGTATATATTCAATAAACGTGTTTATACAAATACTGGGTTCATCAAACGCATAATCGAACTTCTAACTTTGCCTCGGATTATAACATGTTAACTCGAGATCTATAATTAAGGAACGAGAGAATCTTCTACACACGGTGGTGTTAAGATGAATGGACGTACTTTTTCGTCTATAAATTTAGTTTCAAAATAAGCGAAACGAAAAGAGGCGCCGGTTGTGAAACATAACACATGTGATTCTAGCGACCCGTTACATCACAAAATTTTTAATTTCGCCAAATTATATTAATTTATCGTAATCAAATAATTTAACGAAGTAATAAATTTTACCAATTAACCATTCAAGTGATAAAAGAGTCGTTTATTATTTTTCATAGTTATTTTAATATATTGTACTAGAGTCGGGTGTCCTTCAAAAAATAACCTCTTTAGGAAAATGGTCTACCGTCTACGTATATTCTATTAATTCTCCTAGATAGCTGGACCTCACTTGTGAGAATTCACGGGGTATATTGTTGTCGTTGTTTTTATAACCACTTACGTGATGTAAGTATATGTATAAAGTATAAAATATAAACACGTGATGATATATATTTATTGATTTGATGTAAATACTGATGTAAATATTCCGCTGATAACACCCATACTCTTTTCTTTTTCCACTTATAGTTAAAACACGTTGAATTAAAAAGCAAGAGAAAAAGATGCTGATTTTAGCCTATGTTTTTTTTTAAAAAAAAACAATAAATATAAAAATAGCGGTTATAATGCAACTTTTCGAAAAAAAACACACCTCTTGAAATTTCACAACTACTCCTTAACAAAAACTACCCCTCAATCTTTACACATTTCACTCTCCATTTTATTTCTATATTATTATTAACTTTAAAACTTTAGAGGTTCTTGAAATTATGTAACATGCAAATTCCAACGTTCATAATTTCATAAATATTTCTACTATGCAAAAAAAAAAAAGTTTGTATAAAAACCATACTACAAGTACTATAGGCTCTTATATTTATTGCCTTCACTTCTTACTTGCTTTTGCCCATAACTCTTTTTTACCATCTTCATATTTTTTTTGGGGTTTAAGATGAATTTAAGTGATTTAAGCACTTTGGTTGTGATTTTTTTCTTGATTTGTGGTGATCAATATTCTTGTTACATTATAACATGGGATGATATGAAGGTGAATTTGAATAAAGATGAATTTATACGATCGCGTTTTTCTTCTTCTTCTTCTTCATCTTCGTTACAAAGAGTTATAGTTGTTGATCAAAATGGTAAAGGAGATTCAATTAGTGTTCAAGGTGCAGTTGATAAAGTTCCTTCAAATAATTTACAAAGAGTTATTATTTACATTCATCCTGGAACCTACAGGTAATTTTTTAAATTTTTTCTATATAATATAGTATAGTTTTTATCAACATTTTACTATGATTAATTTCTATGTTGTTCAGATTCTTCAATAATGTCGATGAATATATGTGAATTCTTATGGTATATATAGTGTACTTTTTAGTTTTTATCAACTTCTTACTCTGATTAGTTTATATGTTGTTCAGATTCTTCAAAAATATTGATGAGTGTATGTTGAATTCTACAAAATTAATGTATATTTTGAAGAATTTACTCGAATACGAAAGACATATTTTAGAGTTTGAACAACATAGATTAGTTTATGTGATGATCATGAGGACCAATCTAGGGGTTCAGTAAAATTTAATAGCTTTGAATTGAGTTCTTTGTATGTATAATTAAAATTTTATTATTAAATTCAGAACTCAGTTAGTGAAGCTATTGTAGAACCTGGAATCCATAAAGTTGAGAGTTTGCGACGATATTATATTATTTGAGTTAAAAGTTTCAATGCATGTATTAACTATATGTAAAAAATATTAACATAATCAGATCGCTTAAATTTTTTTAACAGATAACTTAAATTCAGTATCCTTTACTTTCTTTTCTTAATTATAAATGTAAAAAGCTCATGCATTGATTCATAATATGCATTTTTTTAAAAATTATTTTTATACAACTTTTTTTGCATTTTTTAATAGTTGGTGTGAAGTTAATTTAAGCTTGAGGACGTGGGTATAGTTTATACTAGAAATAGTTGACAGTTAATACAATGGTAGTGGGTTAACCCACCAACCCCCACATAAAATTACTAACTTTTGTGCACTGATAAAGTGAATTTTTTTTTAAAGAATTATAAATTTCATATTTTAAAAAAAACTTACGTATAAATATACTTTAGGTAAATTTTGATAATGTAAAGATTATTTTACATTAATGAATTCAGGAACAAAGGTAGAGTATAGCTTACGAATTTGGTCGAACACAATAAATTTGATCTAAACCTAATGTTTTGTCTTAAAAAATCATGATATATGTGCGGATTATTAATTTAGAAACTACTCCAATAACTTTTTGAAAAGATCTAATTTTGAATTTATAATAAATTTCAAATCATAACTCCGTAACAGAATAATAGTACATAACTTCAATGAACATAGTACTCTTTTTCAGCCCATGATGTATTGTGTTGAAATCTTATTTTACGTGTGATGTTTGAATATTGTCAGTTTAGTACGAAGTACGAACCCCTTCAACAGAAAATTATACTATTGAGTTATGTATATATAGTAGATGTTAGACCTCCTTTAACTTTTTCTTGTATTTACTTTTTATATTTTCAATTTTTTAGTGAAAATTCTGATTTCGTCAATGACTAACGACGTGTATAATTTATGTAGAGAAAAGGTACATATACCAGCATCAAAGCCATTCATATCATTAGTTGGTGATCAAAATCAAACAGCTAGAACCATTATTTCTGGTCATGACAAAGCCTCTGACACTGACCAATATGGTTCTATTTTAGGCACTTCTAGAACTGCAACACTCACTGTTGAATCTGACTACTTTTGTGCCACTGGCATCACTATCGAGGTACGTTACGTATTACAGTCAAATCTATCTATAACAGTATCGTTTTTTTGTTGTTGTTGTCATGACCCAACTCGTTTTGTGAATTTTTTTTCAGAACACAGTAATTCCAGATCCTAAAGGTGTTGGAATGCAAGGAGTGGCATTGAGATTAACTGGTGATAGATCAGTTTTGTATAGAGTAAGAATATTGGGATCACAAGATACACTTTTAGATGATGCTGGATCACATTATTTTTACCAATGTTATATTCAAGGATCTGTTGATTTCATTTGTGGAAATGCTAGGTCACTTTATAAGGTACTTATTCTCTTACCTATCTATCAATATTGTTTGGACTTTCCTATAATGTTGTTGTGTCTGTATCAAATTCTTTAAATATGTATTCTTTTTGGAGGATCTGACATGCATTATCGACATTTTGGAAGAGTTTTGAGCAACATAGCTCTCTACTTTGAAACTACCTCAAACATAAAGGACCATTTTGTCATTTTCTCTACTTTCTTTCTTCAAAACTTTGACTTATTTTTTCTTTAATACTGTTAACAGAATTGTACTCTACATTCAATAGCCAAAGGGTATGGAGCAATTGCAGCACAACACAGAGACTCAGCAGATCAAGATACTGGTTTCTCTTTTGTTAATTGTAAAATCAAAGGAAGTGGCAGAGTCTTTTTGGGCAGAGCATGGGGAGAATATTCAAGAATTATATATTCCAAATGTGATTTTGATCCTATTATTGATCCAAAAGGTTGGACTGATTGGAATCAACCATCTAGGCGCCAGTAAGATTCGAGACTCCTAGTTAAGAATAGAGATATCATATTTATCGCACCTAGTTGTTCTTGTCTGGTATGACGAATAGGTATTCAGTGAATTTCGAGTATAAGATAGTGAAGATTGATGATAATATCTAAGTGTTGATTAACACAACCCCTTTTGGTGGATATTGACAAGTGACCACTGAATATTAGGAGTAAGCAATGATCCTCTTGAGATCGATCTGTCTATTAAACGACTTATTTTCTGTGTTTGCAGGCATACAGTGTTTGGTGAATACCAGTGCAGGGGCAGTGGAGCAAATAGAGCAGGTAGAGTGACATGGTCCAAGACACTCAATGAATCTGAAGCAGAACCTTTCTTGGATTTAAAGTTCATAGGTGGACAACAATGGCTCAGACTCTGAACTTTCACACTTCAATTTTCTGTGTCCTATTTGCAAATTCATTCAAAAACAGAACTAAATTGGCTTATGAGCCCTCAATTTTGAAATAGACATAGGGGCGGCTCAATAAGATCGGTGGCCTAAAGCCATATTGTGTGACAATGATTTCACCATAAAATACTGCATTTTACAACATGCAAGGTTCATAGTATGTATCTGTCTATTACACTGTGTGCAACACACTTGCAAAACAATTTGACTCAATAGTGGAACGTTACAGATATCGTAGAAGATCCTAGTAATTAGAGAGTTTATAATTGCTAGAGCATCTCCAGATTCTAATAAAGTAGTGGGAACTAATGATAACCTGTACACCTAAGAGTCTAAGACACTCGATTTCTAACACTACGAGCAAACCTCATTCAATTTCCATCTCTATGTACAGTTGAACAGCATCAGTACCTAGCAACAAACTGGAATCTGTTTCGGTGGTAATACATCACGCCACCATATCCATTACTTCTGTTTCGCATTTTCCCCCATCAATCTCAGGTTCTGATGATTTTTCCACATTGCTGTCCTTGTTAGTGTCGTTGTCAATGTCCGTGTTGTAAGAATCATTATCATCGCTAAGTTGGCAGTCTAAGTCATGCTTGTCGCTGCCACTGCTGCTGCTGTTATTACAATCATTCTCATCGGATTTGTTTTCAGTTGCATGCTTCTCATCCTTAATCAAGTCTATATCTCTAGTGGAGTTATCAGTTAGTCGCTTTTCTGTAATGTGATCTTCTTGCTTCTCAATATTGACACCGATTGAATGTTTTGAATGGTGATCAACTGATCTTGCTTCTGTAGAACCACGAGCAGCTTCTTCATCCACGCTACTCGAGTGAATTTTATGATCCATAGGACTAGCACGCTGGCGCTCTGAAGTAATACTTGATACAGAAATCTTGGTTTCTTGGATCAAAGATATCATTGAAAGAATGTCTCTGTTTGTTTCGATATCTACCCATCGATCTCCCACCCAATCCCTTGAGATTCTTAGATTCTTTCTATCTATATTCAAGAACATCCTCTCACCTGATAACAAAAGAGGAGAAAACAGTTTATGAAGTAAATAAAGAGATATGTTTGCGTAACGCTAGCAACAATATTGAAAAACAAAACTCACCAGGAACATAAACTCTATAGGTTTCCTTTTCTGATTTGTCTGCGTCGACAATTATTCCTTCCCACCAACCATCACTCCACCAGGCATCAATAGGTGCTCCCACATCAAAGGCAAGATCTTCCAGGTCACAAGGGCGGGAAGGCCTGATTGTTGGACGGTTAGAGTTTCTCATTCCAAGTTTATCAGGCTTGGCAAGTCTAAATGTAGGGATCCATTCCTATAAAGTTGATGAATGTGTAAAAATGATGTTAGTTTCCAAAATGTAACAATATTAACAAAATTTCTAGTTCATCTTGGTCCAGAATGATAAAATCATATCTCTCCGAGTTGAAGTTTTTAACATGTAATGAAGTACTCTGAAAAAGTGCTGGGGCATACCTCAAGGTTTCCACATCCATCTTCATCCTTAATATCATCATACTTTATTTTCATCTGTCTCCGGGATATTTCCACAATGGTGCATCTGAACCAGCAGCCTCGGATCCCACTATCTTGGCTCAGACATTCTATCTTCTCATTAACCACAAACTTAGGAGTATACCAAAGCTCACTTCCAACATGCTTATTGGAGTTAAATTTCCTACTTAAAAAACCATTTTTGAACTTCTTGTAAGACTCTTCATATGCTGTCATCTGATGCTCCTTATATTTCTTTCTTGGCCTTTTAGCTCCAACTTTTACATCATCCTTAGCACTAAATTCTTCTTCTTCAAAGAAATCTGGACTGAAACATGAGAAAATTGATTGATCAAGGTAACCGCGCAATTTACCTAGTTCAAAAGGTTTTACTCTGTTGCCCTTAAATTGTCTGAAGCAAAAATGTACTCTTGTTAGCAAGTCATTTGGGAAAACAGCTACACATTTCTCATAATGTTCCCGAGTTAAGACAATGGCCGGACCATCAATACACTCTGCACTAATGACCTGAGCATAAGGAGTGATGAAAACCTCTCTAGGATGAGGATTTCTTAAAGAGACAACCCCTCTCACTTCCCTATTAAAGTGGAACCATCTCACTTTGACTTTTTTCTGGCCCTTCCGGTCCTCATACATATCTTCAAGATATGCAAGGTACTGATTTTCCTTTTCAGCCATGACAAAGACGAATGCATGTACCTGGAACACAGAAAAGGAAACAGACTTAATAGCTGTAAACTAACAAATAGGCATACATAAGGTATAGAGGTGCAGCATTAAAGAAGTCAGGCCATCTTTCTAAAGGGGTCAAGGAGGAAACTTTCTAAATAGCATAAACTTGAAAAGGTTCATTCGATACATTTTACTTGTTTCAACTTTCAAGAGCTTAGATGGTAATCTATGTAAGCCAAATAGGCAATGATTGGGAAAAGGGAGGAACAGCACAGATGAATCCATGCTTTAATTATGGCAGTCAAGAAAACATTTTGAGCACAAACACAAAGAGTGTCACTAATATTTGATAATGCCTCTTGTGTAAATAAGAGCTAAATGATAATCCATGTGTAATGCTAAACCCTGAATCATCTCCATACATTTGGACACAGTTTGCAATTTTTTTTTTTTGACAAAGGTAACAGGACTAGTTGGCAATTTGTCATCATTAAAATTAGAGGGAACAAATTAGAAGGCAATTAATTTGCTATCCCACAAGGCCACAACTGATGTCAGACTCTTAACACCTCGCATGCCCAAAACGGAACATCTGGAAAGTGGATGAAAGATATAACATGGGGACCCGACATCAACTAAACCAACACTTAGATAGGTTTGACTCTGTTGTAAAGAAAAAGAACATTGAGTCTAATACAACCCCAAAATCTAGCTCTTGAGGGTGAGCATTGCTCAAAACTATATAAGGAGATTAATTTCCCGTTCCACAATGACGGTGACTCCAAAAATATATTATATCTTAGCCTTCTTATCAAGTATATTCCTGGAATAAGTTTGTTCGGCATCTAAGAAATTTCAAGTAAAACATCTTAAGCATTTCAAGTAAAAACTTCATTGTGAGACATTCATCTAATTGTCAGTCCAGGAAACTTACAGCGATTGTGATCCCATTCCGGGAAAATGTTGGGTAGTGTTTGAGCTGTTTACTACATATCCATGGTTCACCTGACCAAACTATGTCGGAAGAATGAACTCTCAAGTTTCTTGTTATAGAACCCTGTCATAAGAGATCAGTCAGACATGTCAAACAGCAAGGAAATGACATGTTAGTGGTGAGGGAAACTCGTACCTTGTTACTTGCCATATCTGTTGATTGGACACTGAATAATGGAGACATAGGATCATCTTTCGGTGATTCTGCCATTACATGGAGCACACGTCAAGCTTTTGTTTTTTCCTTCACAGCTATTCTAGACAGTTTTGTTTGCAAATATATACTCTAAAAGTTCAGTGACTTGGAAGTTACAGATATCACATGAAAAGCATCTCCAGCAGACACTCTATTACTGTTTAGACTACATGGGAAAGATGAACTAGAGTAAAACCAACATTGCTGGGAATCTGAAAAGAAAAATAACAGTTGCATAAAGCTCACGACTTGCCCCTGCAGTAGAGGCCAAGCCCAGGCAGTGGGGAAAGATAGAAAAGGTACATCAAAAAGGCAAACATTACAGAAAATCATAGATATCCAAATACTTCACTGCATAACAGCAAATACACAAGAACTTCATTTGTTCTATTTTTATGAAACTTACTTGATGAGAATGTCATAGCGAAAGTCAAAACAAATGAAGCCATGAAATACTTTCCGGCCTTCACTGTCCTAATTTCCTGAATCCAGAAGGACCTCTACCTCTTAGACGAACCATCTTTTATAATACATTAATTAGACAAACTTGTGAAGTAAACCCATCACCTAAGATTAAGAAGGCCAACTTCAGGGAAATCAAAATATACCTCATGACATAGCATATATAAAGCTAATTAGCATAAGTACTTCATTAATCTAATTGGATACTTGGAAAAACTTGCAAAGTAACTACATCACATTAAAGATTAAAGGCCAACTTCAGGGAAATCAAAATGGACCTCATGACATGGCATATAAAAAGCTAATTGGCATGAGTATTTCATTAATCTAAATGGAATTTGATAGTATTATTTGGCCCGGAGCATTGATTTCCCATAACGAATAGGCTAGCTCTATCTCTCAATTACCTATCCTATTTTCGAGAAGGTCCCTCAGTTCCTCGGCAGTACCTGAGGTGCATTTAGTTGTCTTACATGAGACAAGGGCTATTCCCTACTCCATGGAAAGAACATACCCAGAGTAGTCCCACAAAGTGAGGTCTATGGAGGATAGAGTGTAAGCAGATCTTACACCTATCTTAGATGTAGAAAGGTTGTTTCCAATCCACCCTCGGCTCAAGGAATAACGGGTCCAACACAGTCCAGAAAAAGAAGCAACGTAAGTACAAGAAACAACAGAAACTACAATACGACAGTCGATAGCAAGTACTTACTTGAAAAATCACTTTGTAAGTGCTGTTTTGATAGCATTGATGTGAGCCAATTCACCACTTCTCTCCTTGACCTCCATCTGAAGCCAGCATAGACAGAGTCCTCACCTGCATAAGCTTTCAAGAACTCTTCGGAGACGACATAAAACATATGCCTAACACTCCTTTCAGTTCCTACAACAGCAAGAATAGATTCCCCTGAAATATCCTTCAAGAAATAATGAACCACACGATGTCCCCTCTCCTTAGAAACAAATTGTTCCTTCCATTCCACAAAACAGTGGTCATTGCTACTACCCATCTTCAGAAAAATACCCAAAATTAGATCTTTTCAACTCAAAGCACCATATCCAGCCTCACATAAACCCTAATCCGTAAACTTCAAGCACTATGCCCCTTTCCTAAACTAAACCCCCAAAAAAACAACCTTAATAACCTCAACTACAACCTCAAAAGTCAATCAATTTACAAAAGACACAATCTTGATAATCTACTCTGAAACCCCACCATAAATTTAGCTTCTGGGAACTCAAAGAAACAATGGGTATCTGACAAAACTCTAAACCAACACCCCTCTACAAAGATCTGAAATAAATTACACATCAAAGTCAAAAATTTCAACAGTTAGACTTAAAGGGGTTTTTGCTGAAGCAAAAATACAACAACCCAACAAGTGAAATAGTCAGTAGGCATCAACAAGCCTACAAGTTAACAGAAAAAAGAAACTTGGGTCCAAACTCAAACTCCTTCGTGGGAAAAAACAGAGAAACTGGTGATGCTGGTCAAATATTAGACAAGAAAAGATTCTTCTTTTGTAACTTTAGCATATATACCAAGAATACACAAAGCTATGATGAAGTATGAGTGAAAAAGACAAGATTTTGGATCCTGAGAAATTGAAAAAATGGGAAGAAAGAGTTGCAGAGTTCACATTCTATGAAGCTTTGATGGTGGTAGCTGGGAAAACCTTCATAAAAAGCTTGATCTTTCACTATGGGTTATTTTATCGTGTAGGCGCTCATAGGCTTTGATCAGTGTATCCAGTGGATGATGGGCCCTTTGATTATTTTTGGAGATTCTGATGGATTTTGTTGAGTCACTTAGACCCTTGAGGACTTAAAATGTACACTTGTGCCCCACATAGTTTGACTTTTTATGGAAATATTTTTTTATCGATATTTATAAGGAGACATAATATGTAAATGTGTCACTTAACTTAACCTCATTTTATATTTATGTCATTTAACTTTGAATGTGCACAAATAGGTACTCAAACTCGTATAAAGTTGAACAAGTAGACACATGAGTCCTACGTGGTATAATACACGTAGAAAATCATGTAGGATGCAAATTGTCATGTAGGTTGCCATGTAGGACGTGTGTATATATTTGTATAATTTTATATAAGTTTAAGTATCTATTTAAGTACACTCAAAGTTGAAGGGCATAAATATGAAATAAGGTCAAGTTAAAGAGCATATTTAGTTATTTGATATGTGTTTGTACATAAATATGTATTACTTAATTATAATAAATTAACACATACTCATCATACTAAATACTTAATCATAATAAATTGGTAATTTTGTGTTTGGAGTGAAAACATAAAGGTTGCATTCATCATGTTAAAATCTTGAATTATTTTCTGTTTGATGTAAATATTGAGTGCAAGTAAATATTTACTTTTTATGTGTTGCTATATTTCTTTTATGTATTGATAATATTGTGATCTCAACGCGCTTGGTCATGAATAATGGAGTAGGTCCAGTAATTATAAATATTGAAATTTAATATTCATAAATACTTCTCAAATTCTATTCATTATATCATATTGAATATACTATTGTTGTGATTTTAAAAATACATGTGACCAACTATATTTTAGTAATATCAAGGCAAATATTGGTGAAATATTTGAACTTTTTTTGCAATTTGTAACTTCAACCAAATACTGTCCAAACACTTATCAAGTCATCTACTTTTATAGATGAGTAAAGTAGATAGTTCATCCATTATGCTAGGCATTAATTGAACTCATGCAAATGTTGTCTAAAGAAGTTTTAATGTTTTAATTGTCAAGTGAGAAAAGAAATAGGACAATTGAATTTTTTTTATTTTTTTTTATAAGATGTCAAAGAAATTTATATTTACCTTTTTACTCCATATTACTTGTTACTCAAACCGTTCAGTTCAATGCAGTAAGCTTCCATTATATGTAAAATTCCAAAAAGGATCAAACCACATAAATCTGTTATACACAACCTTATCATGCACTATTTGGTACTAAGATATTTCAAAATGTTAAACTTATCTTTATAGGCCAAAGTGGATCATTTATGATAACCAGAATGAAACTTAGCAATGATGCACAAAAAAAATTGATATTCTTGAAAATAATTCCATTAATTTAAATAAGAATCACAACTTTTAGCTTGTACATTTCACTCTCAATATCATGTATACAAATATTTTTAAACAACCAAAAGTATTCTCAAAATAAAATGGTAAACTATTATGCTACTTCTGCCAAAATAACCATCAAAGCACAAACTCAAGTGTCCCATATCATCACCACAGCAATTATCCCAACACCTAACAAAACAGCCAAAAACTTGAAATGAGGCTTGTCAATCGAGACCATTTTTTGAGGTTTGTATCCCTTGGAAAGCAAATGATTAATGGATACAAATATAAAAACCCCACAAGCCAATCCCATTGATATTGCAAAGATCCAGTCTGCAACAACCCCTTGAGTTGTGGCATCGATTATGATTCCGATGGCAACGCCAATTGGACTAGAGATGGCAAAGGCAAAAGCATAGGCCGCGCATGATAGTAAAGGGCGATTTGGGATCATCCTAAGTAGAGCTATTCCCATTGCAATAGCAGCAAATATCTTGTGTAAACTGACAGTCCAAAGAGCTCTCCAAGCATCGGCTTGAGAATCTGCAACACCAATGGCTATTCCCTCAAAGACGGAATGGAAACATAGTGCAACGATCAATAAGATGCTATCACCAAGTGAAGAAGCTGTTGCAAGAGGTGCTTTAGAATAGTCATTTTCTCTGCCATCAGAGACCTGTGAAAGGAATCGAGACAAATCTAATTAAGCCACTCAAACAAGAATGGATTTTTCTCCAAAGTAGTGGACTTTACCAATTAGATTTAAAGAATAAAAGGAATCCGAGAACACAAGACGGTTCTTAGAGGGAAAAAGATAAAAAATCAAGATCTTCTCTAACCTGTGACTGCCCTTGTGCGACTGTTCCATTGCTTTTTCCATTTTCAGCATCTCCTGGAACACAACATGGGATTTGAAGTATCAGCAAAGAGTGTTTTATTGCAAAGAAGTTAACTACTTTACAACATCGTAAAAGAAATTTAGACGATCAAGGCTATTAAAAGGTAATTACAGGTTATTATCCATAATAAGTGAAGTTTGTAAATCAAAAAGTAAGTTTCGTCACATTGTCAATGGATAATATTTAAAATCCTATTGCAAAATGGATAATCAGCACAATGGTTCAAAAAGATCACCACTTTTCAAGTAAACTCCCTTGATATGGAAGCTAAACAGAAATCAACATAATTTCCAGTTGATCTCAAGCTAAAACAGAACTCAAATTCGCATTTCCTTAAACATCATCGACCATGGAACTCTCCTACTACTCAGGTTAGACATGGAAGCTAGTAAAAGTTCTACAGTCAACCTCAAAATTAGGTGCAGGATGCTTTAGAAACAAAAACATCAGATTTTAAGCAAAGCTCCAATTAACTAGAAAAGGCAAGATCTTGTTGATCACTAAGTGAAAGTTTAGCACATAATTTTTTTTATCAAACAAACAACATATCCTATCAAACAGCAAATGGAACTAAAAAACCACTCCGCAAAAGATGTTTTGATGGAATTTCAACTTCTAGAAATCTTTTGCGAGGCAGATGTCTAATTAGCCTTTTTAGTTGGTCCAAACTGACCCCTGTAAATAATTTAGAACTCTTCTTGGATTTTGTTAGCTCTATAGCTTAGAAAGAGGCTACAAATCCTTTTTTTTGTGAGCTTAACTGATCTATCCTTGTAAAGCTTGCATCTTCTTGATGCCTTGAAAAATCTACTTACTTCATCAAAAAAAAAAAAAAAAAACTAAAAAACCACTCCAAACACAAATATGGTTTTACTTAAATTCGAGTACTTTGTCCACACATTATGTTTGACAAACTTTGCTAGCTACTACCAACATTGATTTGCTTGCGGACAAGACAATTGTTAAAGTATGCCTACTACTCTTTTCTTACAATTCAAAACCCTCATCTTTGCCTTCCTCTCACTTCATTCGAGCTAAACTACATACACCCTCGAGGTAGAGTTCATGTTGTAATAGGAGCCCCATACGAGACTTAGCCAATTTGAAGAATTATCAAAACTAAATGAGGACTAATTCCTTTTTCCCAAAACTACAGTTTATATATAGAAAAGCTACAGAGAAAGTATAAAGCTCAAATTTTTATCTTACCAATCAAAGTTCTAAAACAACACATAGTAAAACAATAGTTAATAAATTTGATGAAAGCACAAACCTTGGAGCTGAACATCATTGTTGTTGTTATTGTTACTCTGCTTAGCATAAACAAAACAGATAACACAATCAGCTAACATAGTCATCAAATAACCAGCACATGCCAACATATAAGCAAAAGGGTACTCTTTACTTGTCAATTCCCCAAATGTCTCATTAGCATCACTTAAAAAATGCATAAGCGCAGTTCCCAAGAAAACCCCACCAGCAAATTGTGTTCCAAGAACCAAAAACCCCTCATTCCATTTCATGAAATAAGGTGAAACCCCACCAATAAAAGTCCCAAAGAAGACTATTATCAAACACCATATCTTCACTAGAACCAACGGCCGAGATCTCAAATGGGGTTTGTCAGATTGTTCAGATAAGCCGGAATCTGAATCAGCATCTCCGTCATCATCTCCGCCGTGTGCGGCGGCGGAGATAATGAGAAGAAGAAAAAGAACAAGAAAGAAGTGTAAACGTGCCATTTGGGTTAGAGAAAATCATTTGAAGGAAAAAATGGAGTTTTTTATAGAAGTATTTTTGGAGAAATTGATGTAGTACTGCAGGACAAAGAGATTAAGACATGAGAGAGAGAAAACAACGTACTGCAATGGTGAATTATGAGAGAAAAAAATGGAAAAAATGTGAAAGTATTGTACTACTACTTACCATAAATATTATTGGTTGAGATTTTTAGTGACTCTTGACAATTCACATACCAAAGGTGTATAATTTATCCGATCGTTTCAAAATAAGTATTACTTTTGACTCATTTTACGTCCATTAAAAAAGTGGTTCTTTAATAAAAAGCTAATTGAAATAGTATAGTTAACAGTTATTTTAGGATAATTATTTTTGAAATTAAAAGTAATATTTATTTTAAAACGAATGAATTAACTTTTAAAGCACATATTTTAAAGAAAAATATGAGGTTTGGTACCAAACAAAGGTTTTGTTGATGCGTCAAGACTCAAGTGTGAACCTTAACCTTAAGAATAAAAGATGAGGCCACAAATCATTAGTGCCAGTTAGTCAACTGAGGCGATGACCAAGACTTTCAATGTTTCTCATTTTCCCACAGCTTAGCCAATCACATTGTAGTATGGGTTAAAATTCGGATTTGATAGTTGGATGTATCATAAGATGACACGTGGAGATTGAAGATAGATCTGACACAATAAATATAATAACGGTCTTGATACATGAACTTGTTTGGTAGTATCAGAAGGTTCGAGAACCAGAGCCACGAGATTGGAAACATTTTGATGATCGATCTTGATAAGTCCAAAAGTACAATTGCCTTTGAATAAGCATCCCTCAACAAGATTTGATAAATTTATGGGATTAATAATTGAACAACTAGTAGTTGATGATCCATTTATTACTTTCTGCTATTAAACTATTT